GTGGGGGGGGGGGGGAGAAGGGGGGAAAACCGTTTCATTCAAAAAACCATCCCATACCAATGGAGACAATAATTTAGCTATTCATTTTAAAATACATTAAAACCGGTCCTTTCATTTCCTCACGTCGGAACAAAAAAAAAAAGAAAAAAGAAAAAAAGGAGAAAAAAACCAAGGTGGAAGGCAGAAAAGAAAAAAAGTTGACCCCTTGGGGAGCCCCCGGGTATATTAAAATCTGTGTTTGGTTATTTCTCAGATTTACTTGGAAAGTATTAACCTGACTGTAACTATGAGACTTGACGCCCTCACATCCCCCCATCCCACCCGCCCCTCCCTCCCCAGCCACTGCTACTATTCACTTTTCTCATAAATACAGAACTGTATGTAAGTGGAGGTCCCTTAAAGTACCAACTACACAGGGAGAGAAGCACATCTGAAAAATGAGCAGAAGGCTTAAGGCAAACATTAAAAAAAAAAAAAAATCGTATTACACACTAAAAAAAAGTTTTGTCATCTCATGTCTTGCAGTCAGAATAATAAAAACAAGCCAAATGTTCCCCAAAAACATTTCAATGAAGGGGTGCGGAAAAAAGACATCCCTTTAATAAAACATTATCAACAAATATCGTACACAAACTACAATGTATAATAATTACTTTTGTTTTTTCCCCTCTCAGTAATTTTCGAACCAGACTACAAGGTAAGAAAAAACACTGAAACAAGATACAATGCTTTCAATAATCCGCACAAAGGTCAAATCCAAGGGAGAGAATATTTTACAGAATATGATATACATGGAGCAGAAATGGGAGCTGGAGAAAAACAAAGACCAAACTACAGGGTAGTGTCATGTACAGAGATCCCAACCCGCCGCCTTGGCTCCGCCCCTCCTCTCCCCCCCCTCGTCCCTCCCTCTCCCGCCAGAAGGAAGGGCCTTCGATGCTTGCCATTAATTTTTATTTTCTTATTACAGAGCGAGCCTACAGAATAGCAAGGTTACATTTCAACAACAAGAATTCCTTAAAAAATATCTCCATCCAGTTCCAAATCATAGGTAAGTGAAACCCTGACAAGAGCACACCTCTAAAGAAAAGAACTCCCCCAAAATATCCCCAAAGCAAATAATCCCCCCCACAAAAACCCCAAAGTTAGCTGGAGATCAGAGTTTCAAAGTCCTAGGTCAGATTAACCCTTTCTTTAGGTGGATTAAAAAAAAAATAATTTAAAAAAATCAATTTTTGCAGTGAACCAGCTGAAGGACTCTGGGGCAGGGACAGAGATTTCTTCTTGTATTCGGAGAAGGGAGGGGAAAGACTAACACAGTGCATGCCACAGTCACAGAGAGCAAGATCACGATTCATTCGAGGATGTGATCCTAGAAGGGGTCACCTGCGTTAACAAGTTTATAACGAGGTGGTGGAGTCTCTTCCCCAAAGCAGATCTTGTTAACTGGAGGAGGAAGCGTTGTGCTGCAAACGAACCAAAAAAAAACCAAACAAAAAAACCTAAATAAAAGGGAAAAAAAGAAAAAAAACCAACCCAAAGCCAAAAAAAAAAAACAAAAAAAAACAACCAGGCCTTCTGAACGAAAACCACCATTGTAAACTGTCCAGTTTATTTAAAAAAATGACTACAACAGAGACAACATGAGATTTCATATCTAGACTAGCTTCCTGGTGTCGCACGGCACAAACATACAACAGGTTCGGTTTCTGTCTTTATTTAAAAGAACAAAGCAAAGAGATCGGAGTTGGGTGCTAGAGGCTTCCGTTTGTTTCCAAAAAGAAGTGTCATGTACATATATAAACCCTTCTGCACAAAGAAGGGTCTTGTCATGTCTTGAAATATTTTAAGTTTTGTCCTTCATGTTTTATGGAATAAAAAGTTCAGCCTTTTTATTGCATGAAACTAAACCTGGGGTTTTGGCCCCCGCCACGCGTCTCCCTGCCCATACACCTAGCTTCTTCTTCTTGCATAATTCGTTGAGATCCTCCGAACGGCAGCTGACTCTCTTGATCCTGGAGAGGAGGAGGGGGAGGGAAATCACACACTCATCGTCATGCTGGGGGAATACTGGAAGAGAGACAGAGCCAGGGTGAGAAACCAGGTGGGCCGGACCCCCAGACCGAGGGGGATGCAAAAGGAGGCTGATGACAACTATACAGCAACCTAATTGGATCTAAAAAATCAGGAGAAGAGGATACGCCAGAGACTCGAATTTACCAGGGTGTCATCTGCTTTGTAACTTGCCTTTCCAGGGAGAAAAATCAGCAGAACAGTATGGAGTGAGACGCAATTTAAAGCAAATAATTAACACGCATGCATGAATGTGCTGCTAATGGAGGAAGAGGAGGAGGGATGTCCACAGCCTTGAGTCAGCGAGGCCAACACAGCTGCATCCGCGCCGGCTCCTCTCCATCCTGCAGGATCCTCTCCCCTTTGTCCCACCGGATTCTCTCCCCTCCCTTGGTACGCCCCATCCCACCAAGGACCCAAGCTTGCACCCACCAGTGTATTCTTCCTCCCCACTTTCTGTGCTGGAGCGGCTCACACACAGCACAACCCAGGTCCAAAAGGCACCCACCGCCAAGCCCACCCGCCCCCACGCCGGGACGCCCTGGGGACCGTCCCCCCGTCCCCAGGGAGGCACTCACTCACATTGTCATTTTGGAAGGAATGGAGAAAGTTGCCTCCCAGCTCCCCGTCGTCTCTTGGAGTGCCCGGGGGATTGCTAATGCCACTTATGTTGTTTGGAGAATTCTGTGGGAGATGGGGGGATAGGTGGTGAGCAGGGTCCCGCGCCCCCCGAAACGCCACGGGGACAGGACGCAGC